TGCCGCCGCCGCGCCGCGCCAGGCGCCGGATGGCGGGCTTGGTGATGCCCTGGATGTTGTCGCGCAGCACCTTGCGGTGGCGCTTGGCGCCGCCCTTGCCCAGGCCCTTCCCGCCTTTGCCGCGCCCGGACATGGTCAGAGGATCCGAGACCAGCAATGCGCCGGCGGCGTCTGCAGCGCCTTCTTATAGGGCCGCGTGCGGACCGGAGTGAAACCCGAGAGCTGGGCGGGGCCTAAGCGCTAAAACCCGCCGCTCTGTCCTCCCTTTCTCCCCCCTGCCCGCCCCGCCCTCAGGCAATTCTTTTTAATGCTCAACAGCGGCCAGCTTTTCTTGCTTTCTTATCCTTCCTGCCTCCTGCTCCATCGAAATTAACCAACAAAACCTTCACATTGTACAGCAGCGACTTTTAACCTTTTCCCCTCATGGTACGTGCAAGCGAAGGTCAAATCGCTTTTGTAGACGACGCATTAGAGAGCGGTGGGAAAGTATTTCTGCATATACACGTGTTTCCTTTCTCTTAAGTTTGCACAAGCCTAGGCCATTTTGGAACGTTTCTCTCCTTAATTTCCAGGAGAGCTACACCCCACAGAACGTGATGGTAACAAAGTAGAGAATTCTAGGGTCTTGCAGATTGTTTAATTCTCTTCCACCAAAGGTATCAATTTTCATTTTCAACAGCAGAGCCTATCCTATTATGTCTTACTAATTAATAATGGGTAGAATCACCTAAAGAATTCCAGCGATCCAGGTATAGAGATTAAACTTTGAAAAAACAACCAACTGGTTAGTCAGTACAACACATCAAATATGTCCCCACTGATTTGAGCAACTGAATTTATCATCTATTGAATATTCACTTAAAGTGAATTCTTCAGTTTTTATGGTAATGATGGAGTATTACAGTTGTTTCTCCTGTTGAAAAATATTTTAGTATTTGGCAGTGAATTCCCACCCCAGTTATTTTTCGAAATAATTTCTGTTATCACCACTCCTTTTACTCAAAATTACAAATGATGTTGTCTGCTTGCAACAAAGGAATTCCCTAAGTAGTCTGATCAAAACGGTGCTAAAACTTTGCATTTTTAGGGTAAATTTATCTTTGAAATGCTGTTTCCTCCTAACCTGAAAAATACTACTACCAATCCACATATGTGCCTCAGGAGAGGTTCAGAGGGGCTCTGGGTCAGGCGACGGCTGTGATCCTGCAGGAGGAGAGGACAGACTCAGGCGAGGAGGGTGTGAGGGAGGTCCAGGCTGGAGGGATGTGTTAAGAAACCCGAGAACTGCTGGCCATCAAAGGCGCAAGCTCGTTTCTGGGGTATTTCTGTTCCAGCATCTGGAAGAGTCCCTGGAGGTGCCGCCCTCAGAGGCCTGGGATGAAGCAGGCCTGGCAGCAGCGTGATTTCGGATGCTGGCCCCCGGACTGAGGGCGTCTATTTCCCTGTCATGCCACCGAGGAGTAGATGTCACAGGCAGCCCAGTAAGTGACATAAAAGCAGACCCCCCAGCTCTCCTGCCACTCCGCCACAGGACCGGACCTAGTTTTTGTCATAGTCCTATTCACAACCCAAACTTTAGCTTAAAAAAAACCCCACGAAACACTTCTGGAGGGGCAGGGGTCACTTGAGTGTCTTTCATTGTTATACATTGTTGCCAACAACTTTACTGTAAGAATCTGTATTGGGGTGGAAGGTAAGGTTTTTTTAAAAAAATTCACGAATACATGAGGATGGTACACATTTCTTCATGCAACTTTTGACAAGGTTTTGCTTTCAATGGGGAACGGACTCCATTGGGCCGATGACTCACTTTCTAATACAAATACAAGTGCTAAGCTCTTTACCAGAAAACAATGGCTTAGTCTGCAGAGCACTTCACTTTCCATCCTGAGGCGCTTGAGCCCCAGGGCGTGTTGCACCAATTGCTTAATCACCTGATACAAACCACTGTGTTTTGAATGTATGGCTAGTGTTTTGTTTCTGGGGTGTTAACATACTGACACCTCCAGTGACCTTCAGTCAAGGGGATTCTCAAGTAGCTGTTCCAACACCGCAACTGTAAGCTCTTTAGTGAAGGCGTGGGTGGCTCTGAAAAGAGCCTTTGGTTTGGATGTTGGGACCTGCTCCTCACTTGCCCTTGGCCTTGTGGTGGCTCTCGGTCTTCTTGGGCAGCAGCACGGCCTGGATGTTGGGCAGCACGCCGCCCTGCGCGATGGTCACCTTGCCCAGCAGCTTGTTGAGCTCCTCGTCGTTGCGGATGGCCAGCTGCAGGTGGCGCGGGATGATGCGCGTCTTCTTGTTGTCGCGCGCCGCGTTGCCCGCCGGCGCCCCCGCCCCGACGCGCTCGGCGTAGTTGCCCTTGCGGAGCAGCCGGTGCACGCGGCCCACGGGGAACTGCAGCCCGGCCCGCGAGGACCGCGTCTTGGCCTTGGCGCGCGCCTTGCCGCCCTGCTTGCCGCGTCCCGACATGATGGACAGGAAACCTCCGCTCAGACCTTGATCTGAGCTGAGTCGCCCGCAGCTGCCCTCTTTATAGTCGCGCCGCGGCGCGAACGTGAGTCTGTGCCATTGGCGGCCAGTTACAGCCCGTTCCCTTCACCCAATGGGATCCTGGTTCAGGAACACACTCGTTGTCAGTGGACAACGTCCCGGTGACGTTTCCGGGACTCACCGCCAGTCGGACACGCCCTTCCTCCCCGCCGCCTGGAAGGGGCCCGAACCGGAGACACTCGCAGCCTCGCGCTCGCTCTTCCCGCTGTTTCCCGGCTTCTTCGGCGGCTCCTCCCGGCCATGCCCGAGCCCGCCAAGTCGGCGCCCGCCCCGAAGAAGGGCTCCAAGAAGGCCGTGACCAAGGCGCAGAAGAAGGACGGCAAGAAGCGCAAGCGCAGCCGCAAGGAGAGCTACTCGGTGTACGTGTACAAGGTGCTCAAGCAGGTGCACCCCGACACCGGCATCTCGTCCAAGGCCATGGGCATCATGAACTCGTTCGTCAACGACATCTTCGAGCGCATCGCGGGCGAGGCGTCGCGCCTGGCGCATTACAACAAGCGCTCGACCATCACGTCCCGCGAGATCCAGACGGCCGTGCGCCTGCTGCTGCCCGGCGAGCTGGCCAAGCACGCCGTGTCCGAGGGCACCAAGGCCGTCACCAAGTACACCAGCTCCAAGTGAGGCGCGGGCACGCGGCCTGACTCCTGACCCAAAGGCTCTTTTCAGAGCCACCCACGTTCGCAGAGAAGGAGCTGGTGCGAAGTCGGGCAACCACCTTTGGAGAACCTGGGGGTCACTAAGTGCTGACAAAAACGCCTGCTTGGTTCTCCAGGGTCCGGGAGTCCGTATGATTTGGGAACTTCCCACATTTAATAGGGCTCCCCACCATTTCTCAGAGTTCAGGAGCGACGGGGAGGAAAACGTTAAGCTCTAAGCAAATTTAAGCACGGCCGGCCCGGGCCAGGGATTAAGCCGGACTCCCGCCTGGGCCGAGGCTGCGCCGGGGTTTGAATTCGCCCGGGAGCGCGCGCCCTCGCATCGGTCTGGCCATCCAGCTGCCCCGAGGGACCCTGCCCTGCACCCCCCGCAACCTGATAAGCACGGTGGGTGGTCCCACCTGCTGCTCGCCTTCCTTTCCTTCGCGTTGTGCCCTGTTCAGGAGTGAGACTTGCTCTTGACATTTTGGTTGGAGGGAAACCCTTGCCCTGTTCAAGTCGTGTTTGCACCGCAATTCTTGGTACCGCCGGAGTTGAGTCCTTTCCCCGGGTCTCTCCTCTGTACCCAGGGCCGCAGGACCATAAATATCTGCCTGTTTTCTCCTGTGGCTCCCTTATTGCAGGGCCTCGGCTGCCGGGAGGGGCAACAAGAACCTGACCGCAGAGCGAGTACAGGGTGCGTTCACCAGCCTTTCCGGCATCGCTCGCTGCGCCAAAAACCTTTCCTGCCAAAGCCCCGCAGGCCCTGCTTCTCTCTGACGCACAGAGGGACCTGTCAGCCTGAGCGCCTTGGCTCGCTCTGATCTCCCAAAGCTGTGTCTCCGCCAGAGAGGATGGGGACCCGCCTCGCCTGTATGACCCAGAGACGCTTGAGCAGTTCACCCCCAGGGTGGCTTCCGTGGGAGATCCCCACTGTCTCGTGTGCAGAAGTCAGACCCTGAGGGCACCTGGAGTTCCCTTCCTCACTTTTTGGAATGTATCTGTCAGGAACAGACTCGAGGGCATATTGCTGGGATTTATCTTTTTGGCAAATAGAAACTTTGGTCATAGCCATAGTTCTATACAAATGTCTTAGAGAGGTTATTTCTGATGAAGGTATTTTTAGAAAATGATACAAAACAGTAACAAGGAAGTAAGCTGTAGGGAGCGGCTATAGGTCAAGCCTCAGACTGACCTGTGGCAGGGCCACAAACAAGTCCCAGCTTGGAGGCAGAGCCCTCTTAGCATAATGAAGCCTTCCCTGGTTCCTTCCTAGGTAGCTAATGGGCTGTGGGAGGTGCAGTAAGCGCTGCCAAAACAAGGGAAACCCACAAGAACATTGTAACCATGTTGACCACTACCTTGTTTTGCTCTGACTATAAAATAAAGGCTCGCTTGCAGGCTGGATCTTTCTGCATCTTCATCCAGGCATGGAGATCCTCCCGGCCCCAGCTGTATTCTTTGTCTTTAATCCTTCACTGGCACGGCACAGTAAGCCTCTTTGTATCTAGTGTAAGAACACAAATTCCTTACCAGCACCTTATTTTAGATACAGCGAAAGAGTCCGTAGGGGAAAAGTAAAGTCGTATTCAGGCCTGAAGAGAGTGGCGAGCGGCCTGGACTGATGACAACGAAACCTGTCCTGCTGTCACCCCCGTTGGGAGAACGTGGAGAACGCTGGCTGCGGAGTCACCCGGAGTGTTTCTCCAGGTCATCTACAGGGTTATTCTCCCCCAGTGATTATTGTTTCCTACCCAGGATGCCCCAACCCACTTTGCTGCACCCCACCATTATTGGGGGGTGCCTAATTCATTAACCGCCCATGTCTCCTGACAGCACCCAATCCTACTTGGCTCCTCCTAGGCCCCTCGGGAAACCTCAGCACACCCGGGACTGATCCGGGACCCCCCAGAGAAAAGCCACTGACAATGATAAGCAGTGAACTCACTGCAAAACACTTGTGCTTTTAAAGACAACTCTGGAAATATTGAGATGTATGTATCATAGATATAAAAATTGGAACCAGATGGGCAAGATGAGATATGTAATGGATGCTAAACGTAAGAATTCTAATTATGAGTTGGTTGAAAATAAAATCCCCTTCAAGCAATATTACACCAGGTAAAATTGAGGGATATTTCGAAAAATCTGTTCTACCGAAATGCAAGAATGATCACTTATGGAAGGACAGGGAAAGTGCTCAGACCATAGTGACTGAGGATTAATGTTGCCCAGGTAAAGGTCAGAACAAGGGGCAAATATTTTAGGAATACATCCAAGAGACTTTTGAAAGTACTTCTTAGGAGATTTACACACTAAAAACCACTCCATCGACGAGGGTGGGATTCGAACCCACGCGTGCAGAGCACAATGGATTAGCAGTCCATCGCCTTAACCACTCGGCCACCTCGTCTCCATGGACTAAGTCTCTGGAGCATGTCACTCCCAGATGGAGAGGCTCTTGAGAGGCTCTG